CACACGGGAGGACATCCTCACTCATGCCGGCTGGGACATCCCGCTGTTATCTTTGACAGATGCATTGCACCCTACGCTGTACTATCTCTGCTGCAGGTTCAGGCTGGGCCACATAAAGTGCACTCCTCCGATCACACAGGAGAGCAGGTCCATACACTCTACAATCTGATTGTATGATCTTTACCAAAACCATTTAATATGAGGATAGACTTAAACAATCCATTCAATTTGTATCGAACTAGGCAGGTCATTGCACCACATAGTTGACCTAAAGAAGATTGTACAATTAGATTGTATAGTGTATGGCTGGCTTTGGATTCAAGGTGGAAGCTCACATTGATATGAATTTCATTTAAGTTAAGGCTAATTTATTGAAGTCATTGAATTTGAAACTAGCCTTGGTCATGGTAATGAGTGTTAGGACGCATTGCACAGGCATTCAAACGATGTTCCCCAAACAACCTGTGATTTTTTTTTTTTGTTAGCTGTTTCAGCCACCTTTCTGGCCTGGGGTCAAAAAGACATCTTCTGTGCTGTAATGGCTCCTGGGATGTGCACATCTCATATCCCAGGATGCTTCAAGCCAGGGGCGGACTGTCCATTCGAACACTCGGGCACTGCCCAAGGGCCCGGGGTCAGTAGGGGGCCCCATGAAATGCCCCTGGTAGCTTTTATAGGCTTTTTTGGGTGTGCTTTGAGTGTGGGAAAGGAGATAGGGGCCCCATGATCCCCTATTTCCCAGGGGCCCCATGAGTTGTCAGTCCACTCCTGCTTCAAGCTTTATTCATACAGCTGGAGGTGGGGGGACCCCAGAATACATCAGTAACCAAGTTTGTGACAGCGGTGCAGCGGATCACGGCAGGACAATGCTGGATTCGCTGGATGGGTTAGTATGGAAATTCTGCATTATACAAAAAAAAAAAAGAAATTGAAAAAAAACCCCCATGGTGGATGAGGGAGGGATATTCCTGGTGCCTGTTCTGTCCTACTTTATTTTATCTTTTGTTCTTGTACCAGAGAGTGCCCTTTCCTGTTGCATCTTGGGTCTTCTTAGGAAGCAGAATTTATTCTGCCTATTAAAAATGTATGTTCCTGTAGGTAATGTGATCATGGAAGAGAACTTTAGTCTCATAGTTTGTTATCAGCATATGGCATGCTGCTACACCATAACTCATTGGCCACAGAATTACACAGAGGAAAATGGTTTATTCAACAGGGACTGCTATACGAAGGCCGTTTACTTAAAGTGTCCCTAAACCCAGGACCCTGCATTCACTATATCTGGTCTCCCACAGTACACAGAGCACAGAAATGCAATTATTGTAGTAAATGTAAACTGCTAAATACCTTTTCTCATCAGCAGTTAGAGCAGTCTTGTGACTTCAGCAGAGCACTGGCTAAAGCTTGTGGGAGGAGTTTTATTTCTTATCTAGGAGGATGTGAAACATCTGAGCTCTGTCTGGACAGTGCTGATTGGCCCTGTGCTGATCACATGCTCTCTCCCAAGAGAGAAAAAAAAAAAATATCTCTAGCAATACACACCAAACTGAGCATGTGTGGTTCAGTCTATTAGGTGGTCATTTCAACAAGAAGAGGGGCAGAGAAGTCAGGATCAAACAGCCTTTTTACACAATGCAGAGGATTAACCCCTTAGGTTCTACAGTGAGTATAACAAGCATGCTTTGCTGCATATACAGACTGATTTTACTGTTGTGGGTTTAGTAACACTTTAAATTCAGTACAGCATGGAAAATAGAATTCCAAGGTACACCTCCTGTATTTGATATCTGAAAAATTGGGCAAAATGTAAAACCAGAAAGTGGTCTGTAGCATGTGAGGGCATTTAGTCCAAAAGAAATCTACTGGAAGTGCATTAATAGTTAAAGATCAGTGTTAACCATTTCCAGTCTGGGCCAATTCTGCCATTCATCTTCTACATGTAAAAATTGGCGCTTTTTTGCTAGAAAATTACTTAGAACCCCCAAACGTATATATTTTCAAGCAGAGGCCCTAAAGAATAAAATGGTGGGTGTTGTATATTTTTATGTCACAGGATATTTTTATTTTAATGCACAAAAACACAATATAATACCCATTTTTTTGTAAAATATAAAAGATAATGTTATGCCAAATAAATAGATACCTAATACGTCATGTTTTAAACTTGCGTTTGCCTTCCGCTGCTTGGAAAAGCAATCCAGTGGTTGTATAGCTTGTAAGGAATCGTCCACTGAAAAAAACGATACAGGATCATGTGTAGCCTCATGGTTGGAGTCAGTAGGGAAGGTGAACTTAAGAAGATTTTGTTGGTTGTAAGCCTACAATGGGCTTTAAATGGGTCACAAGGCCTGGGGAAGTTACTGGACCTATTCTTGTGCCAAAAAATAGCCTCTTATTAGCTTCATTATCTATCTATATTTTAGAGCAGAGGTCTCCAAACTTTCTTTAAAAAGGGCCAGTTTACCATCCTGTGGACTTTAGGGGGACCGGACCTTGGCCATTGGGAGTAGAAAAGGTGCTGATCTCAGTTGGAAAAAACAATGCCCCATTGTTGGTGTCATTGGAAGAGATTGTGCCTTATTGGTGTCACTGGGCCTCATTGTTAGTGTTACTGGGAGAAACTGGGCCACATCATTTTTGTCAATGGAAGGAATTGTTTCCTATCGTTGATGTTATTGGCAGGAATTGTGCCCTTTCTTTGGTGTCAGTGGGGGCAATTATGCCTCATTGTTGGCATCATTGGATGAAATAGTGCTCCAAGGGCCGAATACAAGCAAGCAAAGGGCCGCATCTGGCCCCCGGGAAACAGTTTGGAGACCACTGTTTTAGAGCAAATTTCACCTAACTTTGTTGGTAGTCAGCAATTATACAGCTGAATAATTTTGGCCCCCACTCCCTAGTGATAAATATGGCCATTTTACATGCCACGTGTACCTACCTGTCCTAATCGGAAACTGATTGTAAATGAGATTAGAGAATGCATGCTTGTCACGCGTGATGTGCGGCATTATTCTTAAACCACATTAGCAGACATCAGTGAAGTGAGCTTTTCATGAAGAGCAATGATACAAAGTAATTCTTACCTCCAGTCATATGTGAAAGGTTCAGAACTTTGAACTTCTTCCAATCCTAAATGAAAGAGCTGTCATGTATTCAACTTGTTATAGCACAGCTAGCATTAGCTTTTTGAGTTAAAGCAGAGTTCCTCCCAAAAGTGGAAGCTGCGCTTGTTTGCCTCCTCCTCCCGCCCCCCCTCCACTGCCATATTTGTAACCCTTTGGGGGGGAGGGGGTAGCAGGTACCTGTTTTTGACAGGTACCCGCTCCCACTTCCAGCTCAGTTCACTACGGCAAAGTGAGCCAGAAGTTAAGCCCCCTCCTTCCTCCCGCAGTCTCCTGGGAACTTTCACAGGTCCCAGAAGACTTCTGGACCAATCAGGATGTGCAGCACAACTTGCGCATGCGCAGTGGGCACCTGGCTGTGAAGCTGCAAGCTGTCACAGCTTGGTGCCCACAGTTGAGATGCCGGAGAGAGAGAAGAAGGAGAGAAGTGCGGGTGAGCACGCCGCTGGATCCTGGGACAGGTAAGTGTGTGTTTTATTAAAAGTCAGCAAATATAGTTTTTGTAGCTGCTGACTTTTAATAAACACAAAAATGGCTGGAAATCCACTGTAAGAGCATGCATGTTATGTAATATGTGATGCTTACACAGTACTCCCCATGACAAAGCAGGCATCATCTGATTCTGGCTTCCAAGGTCAGCATATGCTTCTGGGACTTTAGCCCCAAAAGGCTGAACAAGAGAAAGCTATAGATTCCCCCATCCATATTGAATAGTGTGGACGGAGGAACCTGCACTTCTGGCCATTGTACTGTGACACAGCAGCTTATTTACCAGAAGGCAAACAAGGCATTTGCCTAGGATGGCTATATAAGTACCTGAAATAAATAAATAATTTTCAGGGGGGGGGGCATGTCGCCCCCCGGAAGAAAAGACACATGGCAGGGATGGGGAGCTGGAGAGGCTCCGGCATGGAATACGGGGAGGCTGCCTGCTGAAGGGTGTAAGCTTCCTGCACAAGGAAGGAAGACACTGGGCTCGGCTCTGGGGATGGCCAGCAGATTTCCAAAAAGGTTAAGGTTAGTGCTTGACTAACTCTCTCTCTCTCTGCGGGTGGGACGTGTTTAGCAGAGAGTGGTGGCAGGGGTTGGGGGTTTTCGGGTTGGCAGAGAGTGGCAGGGGCTGGGAGGGGTTTTGGTGCTGGTGGTGGTAGGGGGCGCACAATTATAGTATTGGCATCAGTGGTGGTTAAAATTCCAGAATAGTGGCTGCATCTGATTGCATGCAGTCACTGTTCTGCAAACAATTTTCTACATGGCTCCTATGATTTTCAGATCAAAGAAAGTCTAGCAGTAGGGTGCCAACAGGGCCACTTATGTCTTGAATTTTGGTTGTTTCATCAAGAATCTGATAATATTCACTCCATGTATGACATGCTTTAGATACTAATCAATGAATAATATAGTTATGTAATTTCTTACCTGTATAGTCACCCTAATATTCTTGGTGTGTTAACATTTTATGCAGCTCACTCCCTTGCTGCCATAATCCATGGCATTATACAGCTCTTTTCCCTTTCACTCTATGACCTAACTGAACACTACAGGGTAATCAGTGCAGGAAGGAGGGCCGAGGAAATGCTTCCACCTGCCCACAGCAGACTACTGATAGCATTCTCTTGGCATTTAGATTTTGAGAGGCTGGCTAGGCTCAGACAATTAGAGCTCAATTGATAGACAGCACAGCTTTTTTGAAAACTATATAGTGTTGATTTATATTGTAATATGTAAGGAATGTTTTCATCAAGACTTGTAAGGATACTGACTTGGATGATTTAATATTCTTGTATCTTTTTAACATCAGATATCCATTGGTATCATTTACAGGGATATCATTGAAGATGTGTCTTACCTGGTTCTAAAGTCACCTAGGCGGTAAAGATGAAGCCTCGCAATGTTATGCTTTGCACTCTGACATTTACACTCTGTGACCTGACTATATCCACTGTTCTGTATACATACAGTTGTAAAAAGGCAAGTATCTTTGAAGATGTGATGCACTTTAATATATTTCACTCTATGCTGGATGTCTGGGGGACTACTCTGCTGAGAACCTGTATATGTGTTGGAGCTGTCATAGGTGTTGCCTGGAACAGGGCGAATGGTCCCCAACGACTGCAGGCATCTATAACACCAATGACTCTGCTGTGCTACCTCATTGCTTCATATGCCATGATAAAATTGCTGCTGTTTTCTGAAGAGGAAAAGCCTGTACAGGACGCCTGGTTCTGGAGTCTTCTGTCATGGACTTGGCTGTCATCAGCTATGACCCTCTTCGCATGGAAACAGATGGGAGAGTTCACACCTTGCATACAGGAGACAACAATGTATTCTGGCCTACCAGATGACCAGGAGGTAGCACGGGTGGGCTCACAAAGACCAGAGGTGGAAAGTGACACATCGGGGGCTACCATAGGAAGACTTCTTTCGTATTCTAAACAGGATTTTGGTTATCTCTTCATAGCTTTTTTTTTCCTTATTCTATGCACATTGGGTAAGTGATAATTGTTCTCTAAAGACATCTACTTAGCAGATCGGTTATATGTTCAGTAGTGTACAACAAAATGATTGGGGTGCAGTAAAATGACAATACATTTCAATACAAGAGGAATCAGAGGGTCCTACAATCTAAAAGTTTATTCCTAATTTACTGGCTTGCTGCAATGGAAAGATGCTTCACTCCAGTCAGCTGATGTGAACACATGAGATGACTGGAGTGTGGCGTTATTCCATCGCAGTATTACTTTTTGGGCTTGGATGGGATGAGTGGATGCCAGCACCCCGGATTTCAGTAGATCACCAGAGTACTGCAATTGGCACTTGGAGCAGCTATTTTATGGGGTCACACTAATTTTCTGCCTGTCATGGTATTACATCACTATGGGGTGTATTTATAAAATAATTGCATAACTGTTCATCCATCATTACATTTACATTTATTCTGTGCAAATGGGGCAAAATTTAATGTTTTCAGGGTATATTCTATGCAGATTAAATGTGTGACTGTCAATGCGGAAAATACCACATTATAGCCACTAGATGAAGCTGAGGAGCTTACCTGTTTGCTATTATATTCAGCCTCATCAAGTGAAAAGTATACCTTATGGTGCTGCTCCAAGCTATGGGTGGAAGGAAAAGGATCACCCCACTGGCAAGCCAATACATGAAGGGATGGACACTGATCAACCCCAGGAGCCCAATATTAAGGAATGGCCTCAGCCGTCATACTGACCACGCCCTCTGATGCATGTTGCCCCACCTACTGGGGGGCTTGGTCATAGAGGTCACTGTGACCAAGCCCCCCAGGTGGGCGGGGCAAAATGCATCAGAGGGCATGGCCAGTATGGTGACTGAAGCCGATCCTCAATATTGGACTCCTGGGGTCAGTTGAGCCTCATCTAGTGGCCACATTGCAGTATTTTCCCATTCACACATTCTTGATCTGCAAACAATATAGCCTGAGAATATTCAATTTTACCCCATTAGCACAGAATGCATTTACATGCTTCGATGGTTAAACAGCTATGCAAACGTTTTATAAATACACCCCTGATAAGTAAAGTCCTGACAAGGAACAAATATGTCGATGGGATTTTGACTTCGCTGGCTGTATGTTTGATCCAGGTCACTGATTCACTAAGTAGCCACACACAGTGTGCATGACAGCCAGGGAAGTAGCATAAAGTCAGGTTCCCATGACTATACCATGGCAGGTCTACTATAAGAAGATTAGTAAACCTAAAGGCTCATTAAGAAACTACAGTTTGTCCTGTAGGATGACTGCCTTGCCTTTATGGTATAAATCTGAGTATTCGTCCACCTGGTGACATATTCTGGTGACCCCGACCTCTCTGTCACTTTTTATTTTTGTTAATTGTTCACATTTTCCCAATAAGATTTTCCTACTGAAGTCGGTAGTGTAAAGGCAGTTCAAATTCATATTCCCAGTGTATTACTGTCTAAAACAGTCACCTTTGACAAGGTAGAGAGAGCAAGTGGGAATAAGTGAGTGTGGAAGATAGTCCCTATCCTGGATCAAAATAAAATCATCATCAATGTTGAAAATTTTGCTCAACAGATATTGAGATTTTCGTTAAGAGGTACATGCTTATTGTTTACCGTGAATATTTTTTTAGAAATTAGAACTATGCAAATATATTGTCTTGGTTGATTTTATGAAGTAAGGTTAATAAATAAGTTCTTCCATAAATCGGGTCACACAATTCTGGGATAAAATTTGCCCTCCTGTCACATTTCATCAGATAAGAAGCCTTCAAAATGATATCACAAGCATATCACCCTACCCTTACCTTCAAAGCCACAAACCAATCTAATGTTTTAGCCATATGCCTTGTAATAAAATAATTCCAATTGTACATACAGTTCTGAAAGACTGGGGTTTATATACTAAAGCTGGTTCACTCAGAATCTTGTGCACTTCTGCATAAAAACCCAATCAGCTTCCAGGTTTTATTGCTAAAGCTAAAGTGAAGAAGCTGAGGTTGGAAGCTGATTGGCTACCATGCACAGCTGCACCAGATTCTGAGTGAACCAGCTTTAGTAAAAAAAAAAACAAAAAAAAAACACTTTTTTATTTCCATCTTATTTAAGACTTACCATATTGTTTACAAGACCTTAATGCAAGTAATTGCTGGAGCATAGAATAAGGGCTGCTTTTATTAAAAAAACAAACAAAAAAAAAAAAAAACCTCACAGATATATCCATTCTGTGAAATTTCATGTACATTCATTCTGTGCGACTTGGGGCAAAAATGAATGTTAATAGGCTAATTTGTTTCCAGGTTGAATGTTTTTCATATATACAAAATAGATTTAATGAGATAACTTTGCATTATGGCCACTAGATGGAGCAGATGATCATAATAAATAGGTACATACTGTATTTCCTTTGCTCCTCAGCCCCATCTAATGACCATAATGGAGTATTTTCCAAATTTCTTACAAATAAATCCCTAAGTGCTGGTCCATCAGGACAGCAATTGTTTTAAAAAGGGTTACATAGCTATATAGAAATGTGTTAACATATTCCTGTATTCTTTTATTGGTTTCATTCAAAATTCTAGTTGTGAAACCCTGCTAATCATCTGTTTGCAAGCATCTAGTGAACCTGATTACCAAATCTATTATATTATCTCATTTTGTTAATTGTCACTTTTAGGCATTTAGTAAGAGTGTCACCTGTTTTATAATTCAGATCATATATATTAGTTGTACCTCATGGAGGTGATTTAATGCATATTTTTGCAATTAAAAATGTGGATGATATATATACATCAGAAGACTGGCAAACTCCCTGATGTTAGATGTAGCAGCAGAGGGTTTTAGGAACCCTTAGCTATCACAGGTTTTAGTAGATCATCCTAGCACAAAGATACATTGGCCTAAGACTGGAACTAGTCTATATATTGTAAGACACAGCTAAATCCACCTTAGAGGTCAGACTCTGTGCAAGCCTCGCCTGACCTCAGTAAACCAAAGCTAGATCTAAGTGTTGTGTTCTCAACAGGGGCAGACTGACCATTTCAGCACTCGGGCACTGCCCGAGGGCCCAGGGTCAGTAGGGGGCCCCATGAGGTGCCCCTGGTACCTTTCATTGGCTTTTTCATAGGCTTTTTTGGGTGTGGGCAAGGATACAGGGGTCCCATAATCCCCTATTGTCCGGGGGCCCCATGACTTGTCAGTCCACCCCTGGTTCTCAATAACAGCTGGGCAACACAACAAGTTATGTTTGGTCCAGGCTTAAAGTTAGTTCAGTGTCTAGACTGAGTGGTAAAATATAAAAGTGATATTCATTAACTACCCTTCTCTTAAACGTAGTTTTTCACAAACCTCTCAAACATCCCTGAGCATGAAAAAACTCATGGACAACCCCACTGCGGTGGGGTTTTTTTTAATTCTCATTAGTTTTTTGGGGGGGATTTCATTTGTTTTTGTATTTTTTTTAATAGCATAGCATATACACCCTGTTGTCATGTACAGTTCCATGTGTTTGGTGCCTTCACATTTTTCTTCACAGTCTAAACAGGTCATGGAAGTTCCTTCTAGTACAGTTAAAGCATAGCTGAACCCAAAAACAAAATTGGATATATTATAGCCTACCAATCCAATGTGTTGGCTGCATTAGTTTTCTTCTTTTAGGCATTTTTCTTTGATTAGTATCTGATGATCCATCCAGTAGCACATGTCCTATCTTAGGGTGGTTACACTTCTTTGGAGGACCAATGGAGTCACCCTGAAATATTAGCATTGTCAGCCTCTGGAGAGGGTAGTATTAGATACATTAGCAAATTTAGATGGACTTGACTAACAAATTTAGGCTGAACGCAATTTAACATTTTTTTTTTTTTTCTTCTAATCAATTCTTTATTTATAAACTCAACCTCTCACATACATAGAACCAGAGATGAAAGAACAGCATCTGGTCAGAAAACAATTGATAATCCAGTATCTAAAGCTAAGGAAGGCAAAGTATAGTGTGCAGTAAATTGTTTTACCATACATATTGGTTGGATTAGATGAGATTAGGATCATGGTAATTTCACTCAAATATCAGAAAAATGAAGAGATCTAGAATGATCTTTTTGGAGAAAATGATTGAAGTTAAGTGTGCATGTCTAAAGTCGAGAGTAGTTTTGTATTTAGAAGGGGACAATTCAAGAAAGGAAATACCGGTCAAAACATGACCTATGAAGAACATTAGGAGAGATGTAGCGTTGGAGCAGGTAGAAGAAAGAATATTAGAGGGGGAGAAATAGATGCCAGGAAGGGTATAATAAAAAGGGGAAAAAAGAGGGGGAGTGAGAAGGTGGATGTTGGGGGTTTCTGGTATATATAAGCTCTTTGGGTACACGATTCTGGGCAAGAGAAGAGTCATTCAGCAATGAAGCTCTGCCAGCAGAGAATTGCACACTTCAGAAAAAATAAATGCATGCTAGTAAAACCAGGTTGGTGGGGAAAAGCTGCAGCATCGGACCAGTGCTGCAGCCATATAGGTGAGTATAAATGTTTGTTTTTTTCCTATCCCACACTTTAGGTTGCCTTAGCTGACAGAATTTGCAGATCCAAGCTCATCTATTTGATCTGCAGATGAATAAAACAGGATAGATACAAAAGTAACAATGTTCCTTTGTATTTCTCTGTTTTGCATCTGAATACTTGTGATATTCCATGGGGCTTTGCTCAAGATGTAGTGCTATCCAGTGAGTTCAGTCCAACTAAAAAATACTGTTTTAGAGGTTGCTGGCCATCATTTCAAACACAAAGAAAAGTGACATTAATCCTTCTGACTTCCTCTCGCAGTGTCACTGCCCAGGCCTCAAGCCTAGGCCTTTGGTCTGGACCCTGAGCATCTCCCAGAACCACTGTGCTTTCATTCAGCTCTGTACCTCTCTCTCTCTCTGCTCTCATGGCTCTTTCTCTTGCAGTTCTCTGCTGCTCTTACCCATGCCCTGGCTTTGGGCAAGGGACCTCCTG